ATTTCTCATGTTTTAACTTAGATTCACATTATTTTAATAAAACTATCTGAGACAAAGCAATTAAAAACAATGGGCAAACAGCAAGCAATTATCACAAATAGTTATAAACAACTGGCAAAGACAAAGCAAAATTTGAAGCATAAAAATTTGTTACCTAAATGAGTCCCAGTCCAGAGTGTATGAAAGAAAAGCAAACTTTCACCTCTGTCCAGTGATCTCGGTGGAAGAGCTCCACATGATACATGGGAATGAAACGCCCAACCTACTATTTCCAGTACAAGCTCGTGTACTCTAAAATCGAAGAATGAAATTTAGGAACAACGGAGGTTAAGAGCAGAATATACTTATTGAGAGAAAGGAAGCTTCTGTCTGAAGAGAGACAGAAGGGTCCCGAGCGGGTTGCCCCTAACCACTTTACTTGATTTAGTTCTTATTTAACTTGGTTTGAGACCAGAATTAAGTGTGTGAACTGAAGTACCACTGTGTACTATGTGCAGAGGAAGGTGTGGATAGAGAAATACAGAAAAAAATTGGGAGTCATCAACGCTGGGTGATATTTAGAGCTCTGGGCTACCTGAGATCAGGAAGAGAACAGTGGTAGGAGATCAAGAAGGAGGTCTAGCATGCCTGTAATGCCAGCAGTCCGAAGACTGAGGTAGGAGGATTGTTACAAGTCCGAGACCAGCCTGGGCTACAAAGTGAGTTCAAGGCCAGTCTGAACTGCACAGCAAGACCCTGTCTCAAAAAGACAAGAGAGAGAGAGAGAGAGAGAGAGAGAGAGAGAGAGAGAGAGAAAGAAAGTCTAAGAGAGAGAGAGAGACACACACACACAGAGAGAGAGAGAGAGAGAGAGAGAGAGAGAGAGAGAGAGAGAGAGAAAGTCTAAGCCCTGGGGTACCTGACACTTGGAGCTGAGAGAGATGTTCTTCCTTGGCAGCTGGGGGCCAGCCCAGCCAGCCTGCCCAGCACTCACCTGACATACTCTGCCAGCCCCTGTAGCAAGGGCTTTACAAAATGAGTTCATTTAACATTGCTACCAGCCTTTCAGGTTGGTCCAGCCTCAACTTTGCAGATGAGAAAACTGAGATACAGAAAGATAAATAACTTGCCTAAGGCCACCAAGTCAGTGAGTGGCAGAACTGGGATCCAAACTCAGACAGCACTCTGCGGGTCCCCGGCTGAGAGGAGAACTAGGATGACATTGTGGAATAGACTGCCCTCAGAAGTGTGGCGTTTTAGGATCAGCCCCCATGAACAGTTCAGATTTTAGCTGAGGAAAGAGGAAGTAGGAGCGGATGAAGGCTGAGCAGCCCGCCAGGCTCCTGACTCCATGCACAGCACACGGGGTCGGGACAGGGAAGTAGGAGACGCTGGACCCTCCTCCAATAGGGACTGAAGCGCCCGTGTCCCCGCCCACCCCTGCTCTGGTATTACTTTCAGGAGAACAGAGTCCAGCAGGAACTTTGGGGTGCCCAGAGAGCTTAGCCTTGGGGCCCTTCTTATCTCCGGGAGTAGAGTCGCTCTATTGTTTCATTAGCCCATAAAACCCTGCTGAGATAGTGGGCGCTGGAGTTCACTCACCCCTGTGGAGACTGCAAGGTGTCAGCGGACCTAGGGTGCTGTGCACGCCCAGACTGCTGAGTCCAGGGAGAGGGGAGGCTGAGTCAGGTGTCCCCAGGCCAGTGTCTCTCCCGCACTCTGCCACTCCTGTCCTGTCCTGGACACTGCCCTTGGATGAGGAGGGCAGGAGGAAGGCTGCAAAAGGGGGCTAATGAGGCTGGAGCTTCCTGCTGGCTTCTTGTGCATGCTCGTTGGTGCCGTTGCTCCTTAATGTTGCTTCTTGGGAAAAATAACAGTACCTGTTCCATAAAGCTGGTTTGAAGAGTACACAAGAAACAACATGCAAAACACTCAGCGGATTCTAAATGCATGGTGAACACCAAGCACTTGTCAGCTATGACTGTCATGGTTATTTCATTAACGTGAGGGGAAATTCCAACTTGGCTCTGGGCAAGTATACCAACACTGTAGTCTTTTGGAAAGGTAAGAGAGTAATAGAAAGATTTTAAATAGAAAACTCCTTTGACTAGGCAGTAGTTGGTGCATGTCTATAATCCTAGCATTCTGGGTGGTTGAGGCAGGAGGATGGCAAGTTGGAGCCTTGCCTGGGCAATTTGGTGAGACTCTCTCTCAAAATACAAAATAGAAGATGCTAGGCATGGTAGTGCATGCTTATAATCTCGGGAGGCCGAGGCGGGAGGATTGTTGCAAGTTCGAGACCAGCTTAAACTGCTTAGTGAGAGCCTGTCTCCAAAAAACCAAACCAACCAAACAAGTGAACAAACAAAAAGGAGCTGGGTATGATGGCACACACCTGTAATCCCAGCTCTTGAAAAGCTAAGGTTGAGAGTTTAAGACAAGCTTGGGTTACAAAGTGAGCTCATGGTAGCCTGAACTGCATAGTAAAACCCTGTCTCAAAAAAACTAAATAAGGTGCTGGGGATTTAGCTCAGCAGCATAAGCACCTAACTTGCAAGCTCAAAGTTGTGAGTTTGATTCCTAGTACAAAAAAAAAAAAAAAAAAAAAGACTAAATAAAGGCCGAGGATTTAGCTCAGTGGTCAAGTGCTTGCTTGGTAAGTGCAAGGTCGTGAGTTCGATCCCCAGTACAAAAAATAAAAAGGACTTAATTAAAAGGCTAGTGATGTAGCTCAGTGCAAAGACCCTGGATGCAATTCCCAATACTGGAAAGCAGGAAAGAAAGAAAGAAAGAAAGAAAGAAAGAAAGAAAGAAAGAAAGAAAGAAAGAAAGAAAGAAAGAAAGAAAGAAAGAAAGAAAGAAAATCATAGTTCCAGAAATTTTATCTCTAGGAATTCAACCTTAGTAAACAACCTTAGTAAATAATCTGACATTTACATTCCGAGGTGTGAACAAAAATACTTAGAGTTATCTGTAACAGAGGAAAAAATGCTGGAAACAACTTAAACATCCAGACATAGTTAAGTAAATTATGCAACACAGGCAGAACAGGAAACTCCACAGCTATGTATTTACTTCTTGCAGTACTGGGAAGTGAGTCCATTGCACATAGGAGATAAGCTCTCTACCTACCCCTGAGCTATGCATCCAGCTTGGAGAGAGATTTAAAGGATGCGATGTAGTTTTATGGAGTTATGTAGACAAACACCTGTATTATTACATAAAAAGGATGGGACAGAATGATGTGGTTTCTGTCTCTTCTCTGGTTTTTTGCTATAGGGTCTTAATTTTTCCTTTTTATCGGTACCGGGGATCAAACTCACGACTGCCTGCTTGCAAGGCAGGTGCTTATGCCGCTGAGCTAAATCCCCAGCCCCTATAGGGTCTTACTTTGTAGCACAAGGTAGTCTTATAATTCAATCTTCTGTGTCAGCCTGCTGAATGCTGGCATCACAGCGATGCCCCCTCACACTGTGCTTTTTTTGTTTTTAGTCTTTTTGAGACAGTCTCCCTATGCAGATCAGACTGGACTTGAGCTTACTTTGTAGCCCAGGCTGGTCTCAAACTTGCAACAATCCTCCTGCCTCAGCCCCTCTAGTGCTGGAATTAGAGGCATGCACCACAATGCCCAGCTCACTTTTTTTTAAAAACTGTTTTGGTTGTACAGGGGCGGTCCAATGTGCTAAGCATGTGCTCTACCACCAGGACACCCCCCCCCAACCTCCATAACTTCATGTATATTAGAAAGTATATGTATGCATGTCAAAGCCTAGAGAGCAAGACATCAAATCCATTCAGTCATTTGTGCTGACTTAGTTGAAATTTTAATATATTGTATCTAATGAGACCACCACTGGGGGTAAGGAATTCTAAGATGGGTGACTGAAGACTGATTAAATGTGACAAAATTGGTTTTTCATCAGTGCAGAAATCACTTAGGCCCAGGTCTGGGAGTTAGCAGGATTCCATGTTGGGTAGAGATGGTGGAGGTCCATGGAGAGGAGACCTTGGGAACAACAGACTCGCACAGATCGTGTAATTAACAGTAACAGGGATGACAGGAGGGTCGCTCTGTCTGCGTGAGCACCAAGCAAGCCCGAGATGGAGTGATGGAGCCTGGCCCTGGGAGCTGGTTCTGGGGGGCAGCACTGGGGCCGAAGTCCCCAGCCCCTTCCAGCGTGGAACACGAACACAGTGAAGGTCAGAGGTCCTAGCCCGGCGCCTGGCACCTGGCACACGGCAGTCTTAGGGTGCTTCTTCCTCGGAGCGCCTTCGGGGGTCCTGGGCTGCCGCTTTGGTCTGGTTGTGTTATCTCCGTCCTTGAAATACCTGCTGTCCTTGGAGGGCTCTCAGATGCAGCTGAGCTGCCTGTTTCCTGTCACTGGCCTCCCGCCTCTGCGGTCTAATGTTCCGCCATCCTAGACTATGTCTCCCTTTGTTCTCAGCCTCCTCCAACCTCCCGTCTCTCCGCTCATCCAAATCACCCTGATCTTTGGGGATCTGTATAAAATGCTACCTCCTCCTTAGATGTGCATGAACCCCACCTCTGCTGGACACCCCGACGCCTTCCCTGTGCCTCAGCCCTGCCTCTGTGTCTCTCTGGACACTTCACCCCTGCTCACACCCTCTGCTGTGTGGGCTTCGTCCCTGGACAGGACTGGGAGCCAGGCTGGGAAAAGCATGTGCATCACTCTTCTGAGTTTGCGCAGCGCTGGGCCCCCAGGCAGAGGTGCTCACTACCCTATGGGGAAAGAGAGAATGAGACAGTGAGGGACACGGGGACAGGGACAGGGCCAGGGTAGGCAGGGACGGATGGAGGGAGGGACAGGCAGTGGGGTGAATGACCCCCGAGCCTTACGACTGCCTGACCCTGACCCTGGGGGACGTGGGATTTCCTTGGTGATCTTCCCAGGTGAACAACCTCTGGGCTCTGCCCAGGTCGTAAAACAGCACTGCTTCCTCTTGGGGCAGGAGGGAGAATGGGGTGACTTGGGGGCTGAGCCTTGGCAGCGGGAGGGTTTATAAGCTGGGAGTCCGACCCGGACCTGCAGCATCGACTTTCCTCCTCGACTTCGTGCTCACCTAGCTCTCAGGCTCCGGCCCCTCCTGCAGCATGGCCTTCACCGGAAAGTTCGAGGCAGAGAGCGAGAAGAACTTCGAGGCTTTCATGAAGCGCATTGGTGAGTGAGCTCCTGGGGCTGGTTGTGGCCATCCCTGGGCCAGGAAGCCAGGCCTCGGGGTAGAGCGGGACAGGACTGATTCATTCACTCATTCATTCATTCATTCATTCACTCATTCATTCATTATTTGTTGGGCAACTACCCTATTTATTTATTCATTTATTCATTGTCTCTTTGAGACAGGGCTTCACTATGCAGTTCAGGCTGGCTTTGAGCTCACTTTGTAGGCCAGGCTGATCTTGAACTCACGGCGATCCTCCTGCCTCAGCCTCCCGAGTAATGGGATGACAGGTGTGCACCACCACATTCTGCTTATCCTATTTTGCTGGAAAGTGTAAGTGTCTGAAGGCATCTTTGCCTGTGCTCACTTCTGCAGCACATGTATGAGCCCCTGTGCAAGGATGACATGCAGATTCGTGAAGACGGTCTTTGCCTTTAAAACGCTTAACAGACTGTTAACATCTCTGCTACTAACAAAAAACTTGAGGCCAAGGGGAACTGAGAAATTAGTCTGAGTCACACAGGTAGTAATTGAGGAAGTGGAGCTTTGGTGAGGTAGAGACCTGATGGTTATTCGTTCACATATTTATGGAACACCTGCTGTATATATGCAAGAGCTACGTCAGTGCTACTATTGGGGCACCTCAGCCTGAGTCCTGCAAGGCAGAGCCACTGATGAGAGCTCTCACCACATTCTGCCTGGGGAGAGGGGACAAGGGGTGGGCATGGAGGGCAGGTCTCATAAGGCGATCCTTTATTCAGTCACTCAACAAACACAGACTTTTTACTCTGCTGCTGTGGGCAGAGCCCTGTGATTTCACTTTCTCTCACTGCCTTCCTATGACACTGGTCTGTAGTTGAGAAGAGCTGCTGAGATAGGAGATCTGACAATCTTGTGGAAACCTCAGTTCAGTACCTAAAATCTGAGGTCGCAAGATTGTCAAGACTCAGAGGATAGCTGTGGGTGACCTGGGCCCGCCCGCTGGGAAGTCCTGACAGCACAGCCCTGTCACCCCCAGGCTTGGGCAGGCTGGAGCCCTCTGCTGACTGGCATTGGCCTGAGTCACATTCCTCAGTCTGCTGGGCTGTCGTGGAACCAGAAGTGAGCCCACTTCAGCCCCTGACCAGGTCCTCGCATACTGGAAAGCCCCTTCCTTGACCTGGACCTTTGTTTTCTCATTTTCAAGGCAGGCGCGTTAGAGGACATACTTGCTTTTTTGTTTTTTTCTGGTACTGGGGATTGATCCCCTGGCCTTCATACTGAACTACATTGCCAGCCCTTTGGAGTTTATTTGGAGACAGGGTCTCCACTAAGTCATCTCAAACTTGTGATCCTCCTGCCTCAGCCTCCCAGGGTGCTGGGATTATAGGTGTCTACAGCCATGCCAAGTTTAGAAGACACAATCTTGAAGCTCCCATTCATTATAGAAGTCGGTGTGCCAGAGATATGTATATATTTCTACCAGAAGACTGGCTATTACTGACAAACACCAATTACGTGCCAGGGCTTTACCAGACACAACCAAGTTGAAGTAATCCTTGTAATAGCTTCGTGAAGGGGTCCTCTTATCCCCATCCTGTGGAGGGGCACACCCACCGAGGCACAGGAGATGCACCCACGCCACATGCCTCGTGGTGCAGTTGGGATGTGATAGTCTGTGCCATCTGCCCCAGGCTGGCCTCCCCGGGGGAGGAAAGCTTTCTCCAAATCACAAGGCAATAAGTGGCTCATGTGGTCCTTCTGCTTTTCCAGGTCTTCCCAGCGACGTGATCGAAAAGGGTCACAACTCCAAAGTCATCACAGAGGTGCAGCAGAACGGGCAGGAATTCACCTGGTCGCAGTCCCACGCCTTGGGCCACATCCTCACCAACAAGTTCACCATCGGCAAAGAGAGTGACTTGGTGTCCTTGGGGGGCAAGAAGTTCAAGGTGAGAGGCCCCTGGCCACCCTCCTCCCCTTCCCCTTCTTCTGTCTCCCCTGCTCCCCAAGCTGAGCATTCTTTCTGTGGTCCACCAGCCACACTGAGCACTCAAGATACTTGGCTACTAAAGGCTCCCGGTATTTAAGGGTTACCGGCCATCATGGACACACTAGTGACCCTGACAAGGCTGGTATTTGCTGGCACTCAACATAGCGTAACACAAATGCTTGGTGAACAGCTGACATGTCTTTGAAGTCACTACAATTCCTCTCCCGCTTTGCTGATGGGGTGGAGCTGAACCCCTCATGCACTTCGGAGGGTTCCTGGGGGGGCATTCCTGGGCTGCTGGAGCTCTGGCTCCCTGAGCCACTGGCTGTGCTTGAGGGCTGGCAGTGCGGGTCCAATGCTGTGTCTCCTCCCAGGCCACCGTGAAAATGGAGGGCGGGAAGATAGTGTTCGAGTTTCCCAACTATCGCCAGACCTCGGAGATTGTGGGTGACAAGCTGGTGGAGGTGAGCATCCTGCAGGGTTCTGGGACAGTTAGCAGGACCCCTTCTGCCCAGGCTCAGCCCCCTGAGGTGGGCCTTGGGCAGCCAGCACTGCCCTCCCACCAGGGCGCATTTGATCTCCTTTGACTTCACCCTCACTGGGTTCCGTTAGGCTGGGAGACGGAGGCACAAGACAGCTGAGTGATCAGTGGGAGGGTACAGTCTGACCTGGTCCCCAACTTGGCCACCAGAAGGCTGCAAGTCAGGACCCTGCAGGGCTCTCTCGGAGTGGAAGGGAAGGCGGCCTGGTCCAGGAGGGTCCCCCACGTGTAGCCACTGCGCCCACACTTTTACACAACCTCCAGGGTCTTGTGATTTTTTTAAGCAGCTGGGAATTCGTGTTTTCCTGTGAAATCTCCACGTGATCAAATGTTGGCAGCCACCTCAATGTTTCTTTTCAAACTGCTGGTGGATCCAACACACACACGCTGTGGGGGCAGTGGCCACTGCCACCCTCACGCTATGTGAAGGGGCCTTCGTTTCCTCAGTCTCCTCCTCCTGCATCTATCTCCAGAGCTGTCCCAGGGTGTGGGTGGCTGAGGCAGAAGGTGGTTCCAGACCTCCCTGCCTCACTGAGCCGGGCCACCGGGTGGGCACAGTGGGCAGCCTCCCTGCTACCCTCTCTTCTTCCCCTTGTGGCAGGGGGCGGGGGGGGGGGAAGGTCAGCCCCTTCTTTACCAGCCCCCACCTATAGCACCAACCTGGAGAAGCGCTGAGCTACAGCCCCAGCCCCCTTCTAAGCATTTTATTTCCAGACAAGACCCCCTAGATGCTCACTTCCTTCTGTCCCTGGGTCTCAGAGACCCCCTGTGACTTGCCCAAGGCCACTCAGCTAGAGCACAGCCCCTCCTTCCAGGCTGGGTTCCTGCCTGTCCCCCCACAGAGTGCGGCACTGACCCCTCCATCCTGGCTGCTTCTTTCAGATCTCCACCGTTGGGGACGTGACCTACGAGCGCGTGAGCAAGAGGCTGGCCTGAGCCACAGACTGGGCACCGTGGGGCTACCGAACCCCCAATAAAACTGATCTAAGAGCAGATTCCTCTCCCGTGCTGTTTTCTGGTGTCTGGGGGCAGCCTCTGGCAGGAGCAGGGGGTGGGGAAGCTCTGAGGATGGCTGCACAGGTCACACAGGGCTCCCATGCCAAGGTCCCCAAGGGATGCATGACCTGGGAGGTGCCAGTGGACTGCAGGACTCCTGACCCTGGGACAGGCCACGGGAGGCTAGTGAGGAGCAGGTGGAACCTTTCTGTGGACCCCTCGATCCACCAGGCCACTGAGCTGTTTGAAGACTTCTTTAAAAAGAAGTCCCCTCAGGGGCTGGGGGTTTAGCTCAGTGGGATAAGTGCCTGCCTTGCAAGCAGGAGTTAGTGAGTTCGAGCCCTGGTACCAAAAAAAAAGTCTCCTGGGAGGGGACACATGCAGGTTTTCAGATGAGCCACAGCACCAGGTATGAGGGCGCTGGGCAGGAGGCGGGGGTGGTAGCCACAGCAGGAAGGACCCTGGCTGCGGGGCTCCACTGCACAGCAGACACACACAAGGCGAGATGCGAGGCAGCATGGAGGTGGCAGATGTCCTGTGCCTGCTGAAGTTCTGTCTGCTCAGGGCTCGGGGTGGGAAGGGTGGCCCACTTGTCTCCTGGTGAGACTGTCCCTTACCCACAGCATCATTTCATTCTCTCTCCTTGGGAGCACTTGTCACCTCTGAGCACCAACCCACCAACATTTTTCTGAGCACAATTCACTTTTTTTTTTTTTTGGGTACCGGGGATCAAACTCATGACCTTGCGCTTACCAAGCAAGGGCTTGAACCATTGAGCTAAATCCCAGGCCCTAAATTCACTTATTTTTACTACAGTGGAAACTTCATATCAATTCTATACTTCAAAGTCAATTCGTTTTTTTTTTTTTTGGTACTGGGGATTGAACTCATGACCACGCGCTTGCAAGGCAGGCGCTTATGCCACTGAGCTAAATCCTCAGCCCCGAAAGTCAATTCTTATTTGCTGAAAGTTCAGGCTGGGCTTTGAGCACACTTTGTAGCCCAGGCTGGTCTTGAACTTGCCAGGATCCTCCTACCTCAGCCTCCGAGTGCAGGAATTACAGGTGCACACCATGTCTGGCGAGTTAAAACTATTAAAAGAGAGTCAAACTGTGAAGACTTGTAGCCAGATTCTGGTATCTGCCCAAAGCTAATGCCTCCCTTGGTCAAAAGGATGGGAAAAATAAAAGGTGGAGTTTTATCACCTGGAAAACTTTCTCCTTAACTAATCAAATTATTGTAAGACTAGTGAAAAGAGAACACACTTACCATAAAATTATTAGATGGGCATGGTGGTGCATACCTGCAATTCTCTATGCTCAGGAGGCTGAGCCAGGAGCATCCTAAGTACAAGGCCAGCCCGGGTAACTGCGCAAGACCTCGTTTCAAGATAAAATATACCTTGGTGGTTAAAAAAAAAAGTTACTGAAGGCACTGCTTAAATTACCTTGAATTTCAAAGCTGCACATACAGGGTATAAGAAACATTTGTCCAGCATCTGGCACATAGCAGGTCTTTTTGCCTGGGGAAAGCCCCCAGCCTTTCACCTTGAGGCAGCCTGGCTGGGAGAGCCGTGGAGCCCAGCTCGCCTCCCACAGGTACCCTGAGATCTGTTTATCTTTCCAAGAGCAGCACTGGCCTCTCCCCACTCACCCACCCACTGAGCCAGGATCCCACGAACTCCAACGTTTTGCCAAGACTTATTGCCAATTAAGTGAGCTAGGTAAGCATTAAATTTAACTAGCAGTATGGCTGTTTCCCCTGTAGACTGAATAATTACTCATAATGAGCTGGGATAATAAGTCCCTAAATAACAGAGTTAACCATAATTAGGCTGAAAACTGAAAGAGAGGAAAGAGGAGGAGGAGGGGAGGAGAGGAGTGGACGGGAAAGAGGGGGAAGAGCTGGTGGGAAGGGATGGGAGATTTCAAGGACAAACTCAGATTGTTGGCAAGGAGACTCTTTAAGTCCACATCGGCATAGAGTCCCTGAATATGGAACAGCAGGACCTCAGGTTATGAGTGCCGCAGTTTACATTCTGTATTTCACAGACGCTCAGAGCGGGCAGAAGCTCATCCGAGGTCACACAGCAGATGGTGAGTGAGGAGTCAAGAACAAGGTGGAACTGGGCTTCCCCCTGCGAAAGCTAGTTTCTGAGGTCAGTGGAGTGAGGTCAGCTGGAGGGAAGTGACCACCTCACTGGCCTCAGGCTTTCCCTAGTCAGGAGAGGAAAGTGGGCCAGTATGGTGGTGCATGCCTTTAATCCTGCACTCTGGGAGGCTGAGGCAGGAGGAATGCAAATTTGAGCCCAACCTGGGGAACTTATCAATTGAGGGAGACCTCCATATCAAAACAAAAAAACCTTATAACAAGACCTGGAGACCTAGCTCAGAGTGAATGCCTGGATTCAACCCCTATAACTGCCCCAAAACCCTGAAAAGAACGCTAAGTGGTTAAGCGCTTTGGCTCTGGAGTGTCAGTGCCAGGGTTCAAATCCCTCGCCTACCACCCAGGGGCAATGGCGCTGGGGTAAATTCATCTCTCTCCCAGGCTGAGTCTCCAGTTTAAATGGCAATAACCACTGTGCTTATCTGACAGCATGGCCACCACGGTACCCAGTGCCACCGCTGTGCCATCCCCTGCATCGTCACAGCCATCCTTCTTGTCACCGTGGGTGAAGGATGAGCAGAGCCTCTGCACTAGCCTGCAGGTCACCTGGGAAGTCACCAGTCCTTCCTGGGCTCGCTGTGCGCCTGTGTCACATGGGTGGGGAAGATGGTCCCTTCCCCCATGCCAGTTAGATAAGGGTTAAACCACACCCGTGTGTCCAAGCCAGTGCGCTGTGCTGCACTGCGCAAACACAGACCTCAGACCTCCTCTCAGGCACTCCCACCTTGGGAGTCACCTTGCTCTTGCTGGGGGGCCCCGGCCTTTTCCACCACTGCCACATGCTCCCCGGGACAAAGTGACACTGATGTAAAGGGTGACGAGCCAGTGGCCCAGGAACTGAGGGAGACAGCGGTCCAGGGAGGGCAGTTATTTTTGGAGCAACGGATTTTCAACCTCGAAGGGCATGAAGAATTGGAAGCGGGGCTCTAACCCCAACCTGGGCACTGTTAGTCTATGAAGATGTAGGTTGTCCCTAGAAAAGGAGTCTGGAGCCCCCAACACTACACACAGCTCAGGGAAAGGCACCCTGTACAGCAGGATGGAAGAACGAATCCGAGAACTCGGATGGGTCAGAAATTCAGGCTGAGATGCTGGTTCCTTACCCTCCCCTTTGAGTACAGGCTCTAGGTCCTGCATATTTAGTCTTTTTTGTTTGTTTTACTCTTCAAAGAAATCCTGCCTCGTAGCCCCTGGGAAGCCGGTTAAGAATGTAGATATTAAGGTCTTTACCCTCTTAAAGAAGCCCTTCGGTCCTTCTGCAGCTTGCTCAGATTTAAAAACCTTTAAATTCAACCAGACATCAGCCCCAGGAGGGACATTCAGGCCATCTCTGCATTTAGAAAAATTTTCCTAGCCAGTTCCCACCTGCTCACCCTAGCATGCAAACGGAAAAGTCTGGCAAAGTCTCGAAAGGTGCAGCTGTGTGCGGAAAGAATATAAGTGGATCCTTCTGACTGGAGGGTTCAGGGGCCTTGGACTCGGCTTCTCCCTGGAGCTCACACCCGGCCATCAATCCAGCCATCTCCATGGTAACAGAGGGGCACGGAAGCCCAGAGAGAAGGACTTGGCTAAGTGAAGTGGATGCTCTTGGTAAACCCAGCTCGCTTCAGATCTGAACCATCCATGCCTAGATTCCCCGGGCTCACCTGGCATTGCACACAGCAGCAGGATGTACCATCCCCAAGCACCCCCTAGGGCCAGGATGTAGTCCTAGGCCCCAGCACATTTCCCCCCTCCTCTCCAGCCTGAGCAGATACCCCTCGGCCCTGCAGGACACCAGCTTAGGGTGCTTCCCCTGTTGGAGGCTGGGTGGAAGGAGGGCAGGACACAGCCTCTGAGCGGGAGCTCTTTAGTGAAAAATAGAACCTGACTTCTCCATACCGCAGGAGCTCTATCCAGTTCACCTTTCCCCAGCCCTGAGGACTGAATGCAGGGGCTTTGCATGGAGCCCCACCCCTAGCCTTTTTTATTTTGAGATACCATCTTCTCAGCCTACCATACACTTTTTTGGTCTTTTTTTTTTGTCTTTTGTTTTTATTGGTGCCAGGGATCGTACTCACGACTGCCTGCTTCCAAGGCAGGCGCTTATGCTGCTGAGCTAAATCCCCAGCCCCCAAAAAAGAACTTATTAACATTAGTGTCACTAAAGTTGGTAAACTACCCCTCCACTGCTAAATTTGACTGGCTTAAAAAAAAAAAAAAAGGCAAAAACACAAAACCAAACAGAAACAAAAAATCCTGCTCGAAGCAGTGAACTACAGCTGTAATTCTAGCTACCCAGGAGGTTGAAGCAGGAGAATGGCAAGTTGGAGACCATCCTGGGCAATTTAGAAAGATTCTGTCTCAAAATAAAAATAATAATAATAATAAATGAACTGGGGATGTAGCTCCATGGTAGTGTTCCTAGGTTTGATTTCAGTATAAAACATCAACCAGAAAATCAAAACCCTCAAATACTGGCACATTAAGTAATACACTTCTTACAGTGTTTTGCTTTTCTGAAAAAGTCTCATTGTAGTCCTGGCTGGCCTTGAATTCACTCTGTAGCCCAGGTTCAAATACATGGCAATCCTCCTGCCTCAGCCTCACAAGTGCTGGGATTACAGACATGCACCACCACGCCTGGCTCTTACCTCAATATTCAGCCTGCTGGCATGCTGCCCTGTAGATCCTGACTTGCAGATTCTCTGGATCTGATTGAGTGAATATCCTACTGACTTGTCTGCCTGGGAAACCTGATTCACAGCAGCGAGCTGGTCACGTGCCCAGGAAGCAGGACCCAGCTCCCAAGAAGCCAGTTTTGCTGCTGTGAACCTCAAGAGCTCCCACATCCATCCTGGGGAGATTCTCTCGGGGCCAAGTGGAGAAGAGAGAGAGGCCAGCCTGCGAGGGGGAGCCCAGGGAGAAAACACAGAGACCGATAGCGGGTGACACGTTTATTGCAGGATGCCTATTTTGGGGAGCTGGTCTGACTGAGGGAACCCCTCACAAGCCCCCAGCCCCAGAATAGACAGATACAATACCGTGGAATCCAAACCAGTCATACATAAATAGAAACAGGTCTGCAAAAGAAAAAGAAAAACAACGAACGAACCGTGCGTTCCTATGTATGCTAGTAACAGAGCCAGCAGTGCCTTATCGGCGTGGCTGGTCTCTTTTCATACTGTTTGCACACTGAGATTCTCCTCTGGGTGAAAGTCTTCACCATCTTCCTGACGCTTTCCCCACTCCCATTGCCTAGACTGGCAAATGAGTTGAACACACCAAGGCAGCTCCTTCTTAAAAAAAAAAAAACAAAGAACAAAAAAACACAAATTGCTTCTGTGGGCCTTTGCACCTACCAGTTCTGAAGGGTGAACAGTGTCCCCCGACAACAAACCAACCAAAAGAGCATGGTGAGTCCAAGCCATGAGTAGGGACACAAACATATTGCACATGATTACAAGAGTCTTTCTGAGATTCCTCCTGCAGCAGATCCCCGAGCACTGGCTCTCCTAACCTCTGTCTCCCTGAGGTGGCGGTGGCAGCGTCCCATACCCATGTACATCCAAATCCAGGTGGCAGTAGGTGAACCGTCCACACTGGCCCAGCTGGAAGCCGAGGCCGGGTTAACTCGCTTACTATAAGTAGCTGGTGGAAGGAGGTGAGATTGTCTCTGCTTCAAACCTTCATCTTTAACACCCTTCTCCCCTTCTGCGGTTAGTGAAACTACAGATGAAGACTGGATTGAAGACGTGGAATCTTCTGGAACAGGGAGCCTGGGAAGGATTTCTCCCCCTCAACCATGCACTCCTGGAAAGGAAGCTCTGTTCTTATGTGGGTCCCTCACAAGCCGAGGTAAAACCCACAGCCTCACTTGGAATGGGAAATGTGGCAATCACATTTTTTTTCTCTCTCTCTTAAGGAATTTTCAAGTATTGTAAAATCCCTGATGCAGTATGTAAACAAGACATCTTGCAGGACAGAAAGCTAGGTCACCTGGAGAAGCAGCAGCATGTGAAATATCTACAAGGCCCAGAAAGGCATCAGGGTCAGTAAGAAGGCAAGAGCCACCCGCCGGGCCCTGCAGACAGGCGCTCAGACACAAGCACACCTCAGGTCTTTCTAGACTGGCAGGGAGCATTGTGCACGGATCCTGAGCTTGTATCCAGCTGCACGTTTGTTTTCAGTGGTGTAGCTGTCATCAGCACGAGAAGTCTGAGGCTAAAACTCGACGTGCTTGTGGGCGAGTGGTCTGCATGCAGCAGCCTGGCTTCTTACCAAGTCTTTCTTGATTTACCAGAGCCCTGCTTGAGACTGGCCACGGAGCCGCCTCTCTGTACCCCAGGCCAGCGTTGTGTGTCAGAGGTTTCTGAGGGACGCTCTCCGGCTAAGTGTGTGGCTGAATGTTTTGCTCCGGGCTAGTTTTATTTAAAAACAGCACGACCCTTCCTTGCCCAAGGGCACCAGCCTCTTCAGGGATGGCCTCCCCACTGCCACCCCCCTCTTCCTCCACTTGGGTCTTCGAGGCTTTCCTGCAGGCCCTGGGGAGGGCGGCTATCTATCAAAACAGCCAGTGGGAAACACGTGACTGCTGCTGAAGTAGCTGCTTCCGTAGGTGGCTGCAAGGCAGTGTCTGGGCTCGGTCGCGACGGCCATCTGCATGCTGAGGGACACAGGGACGGGCATGGGACACATGTCCAGGGGCTGGAGAGCTGGGTATGGACTATGGAGAGACAAGCTTGTGCGTGTGGAGAGCAGGCTCCCAGAAGGGTGGGCCTGCAGCGAGTCCTGGTAGGCCAAGCACAGGTCCTGCACGGGTGCCTGGAGTCGGGCCAGGGTGGCTGATGGCTGGCTGAGCGCGGGGTAGGTGGGTGGCTGGAACAGCACTTGGGTGGGGGTTGGTGGCGTGCCTGGCACCATTGCCAAGGCCTGGCTCTTGACTGCAACGGCATCCTTGAGGACACTGTCATACACTCTGAAAGGAAAAGACTCTGGTGAGGGCTGGAGGTGAGACACCTGTGTGCATCTGTACCTTTCTTAATGGACCTGGGGAGACACGTGTGTCATCAGAGCCAGGCCTCGCTCATCTGCACAGGTGTCTGGAGCCTCTGCCTATCACCAGCTAGACCCAGGGTTCAATACCCAGCTTGGAACTGCTGCCTAGAGGGAACCCTTCAAGGCCAGACTAAGCTGTCCCCCCGGCCCTCCACGGCCCTCTCTCTGCAGGTCACATGCCAGAGGCCAACCTGAATCATCTGTCTTTGCTCACTGCTACAGAAGCAGCTGGTCCTGCAGTGTGCTCCAGGATGCCGAAGAGAACAGAGCGGTCTCTCCCTGCTCCACATTCTGGGTCACTCCTCAGCCAGCCAGATACCTGGCAAGTCATCCTCTGGAGTCTAAGTGAATATCACAGCCTTTCCCCCAATCTTAAACAAAGCTTCTGCTGAGTGTGGTGATGTATACTTGAAACCCTGGCACTGAGATGGGAGGACTGCAGAGAGTTCCAGGCCTGCCTGGGCTACAAAGTGAATTCAAGGCCCGTCTGAGCTACAGAGATCCTGTCTGTCTTCCTTTCTTTCTTGGTACTCGGAATTGAACTCAGGAGGACATTGCGCTTACCAGGAAGGCACTGTGTCGCTGAGCCATACCCCTGGCCCAAGATCCTGTCTTTAAATAACTGCGTGCATGCTGGATATGTGGCTCGCAGTCCAGTGTTTTTCCAGCATGTGAGGCTCTGGGGTCAATCTCTGGTACCACAAAAAGAGGGGAAAAAAAAAAAAAAAAAAAGAAAGCTTCCCATAAAACTTTAGGAAAACAAAACAATCAGAGCCTTACGTAACAAGGAAGCAAGAACTGTTCGGTCTCACTGTTTGAACGTCCACTATATAAGCTTTAATTTTGTAACTTGAACAAATATTTCTAAGAGGACAATACGTAATCCATTAACTAGTGATTTCCTACTGTTTTTTTTCTGAAATTCTGTATAACTTATACCCTTTTTCTGCTTTTTTTTCTTTTTCTCCTTAAATAAAATTAAGAAAAAAAAAAAAAAAAAAAGAAGGAAGCAAGAGGAGGCTGTGACAGAGAAGGGAACACCCCAGAACGATAGAACGTCAGCTGTCCGTGCAGAGCAAGGCGGGGTGGATGGCTAATCACTGGGCGACCCCTCAGTGGCAGGGACAGGAAGCTCTCTGCCCTTCAGGGCCTTCTGAGACAGCACACATGTTAAGACAAGGGCTGACATTCTAGAGGGTGAGACTGAGGCAGCTGCCAGTGCAATGCGCATGGGGAAGCTAAGAGACAACTCTCCAGAGCCTAAAGGCTCCTGCTCTCAGCATCCGGCCCACCGGGCAGTCAGGCCAGCATGTAGGACGGGCTGTCACTCATGAAGTAGAAGAGGGAGTGGCCTGGTAGAAGCCATGTAAGGCATGTCTTATCTTGTGTGCCCTTCCCCCAAGGCCACTATGAACCTCACTGGTCTCCCAGATCGACTTTAGTGTTTTTCTTTCTTTCTTTCATTCCTTTTCTTTTTTTGTCTTTCAGAGACAGAATTTTGCTATGCACTTCAGGCTGGCCTCAAACTTGCAGCGATCCTCCTGCCTCACCCTCCCAAGTGCTGGGATTACAGGTGTGCACCACCATACCCAGCTGGCTTCAGTATTTGATCAAATATGCCTTTAAGTATCTTCCTGATACCCCAAGTTTCCTTCCCGAGATGCTCAGGGACCCAGCAAGGAAGGCTGCGGCCTCTAAGGTGAAGCCACTCTAGTGCTAGCTGTCTTAGAGGCGAGCTTTGCAGCTGTACCTGAGATGGCAGTTTCTAAGACCCTCTCACTGTGATCACCCACAGGATCACATCAGGACTTAGATCAAAGCGCTCAGACACTTGAAGGAGGCGCACACAATCCCTCTTTTCCCTCACCCCCAATCTTACAAATGCAGAGCCAAAGTTATTGTGCACAGAGAGGCCCAGCTCCCCAAGCCCTATATGCCCACTTCACTCGGGATACTTTAGCTGGGAGAGCCGCCGCCCACCCCAAACTTAGGAAGTGCCCCCTGACCTGATGGGGTCTTCAAGGGCAAACAAAACCTCAGTGTCTCAGAGGTATGGGTCAGGAGAGGAGCTTACACCAGCAGGATTTCAATGCAGGCACTGAGATGCTCCAGGGAATAGTTTGAGACCCTCTGCAGCTCTTTGGTCCAGCAAGGAGAAAGCTGCAGGCAGATCCTGGAGGCCCCTATGCAGGCAGCAGCGACCACAGAGGGCTGGAATTTGTAGAATATGTGATCTGGAAGGGAACCCCAGAAGGAGTCAGTATGGTCAAGTTTCCCCGGAGAGCCTCAGGTTCACCCTAAAACATGGTGGGCAAATGAGAAGGTTCCAGGAGTCACCACTACTCTTCTGAATCAGATGCAGACTTAGAAAGTATGGCGCTCAGCACTGATTCACTGACTTCTGCTAGGGGCTGACAAGGGTGAAATTTTGAAATACTGTGCACCACAAAGAACTGGCTGATGGGCCACAAACAGAGCCTTGGAACCCCTGTCCCTTTCTGGGAATGACACCATTCCAAAGGCTCACTCTCAGGTCTAAGGGCTTCCCCAACAGCAGAGATGTCTGGGCTATAGTGTACACTCAGCAACGACCTGGTGAACGAAGAAGTTGGTGAAAGAGTTCATTATCCACCATGAAATCAGGCAATTCACGTGGATTTATTGAGAAATCACACATCCTAGTAAGACAGATGGCACATGGCCAAAGGGATACTATTTTTGTGCAAAAGCAGGCAGCTGAGATTTCTGGAGTCTTCAAGAATGCTATGTGGTTTACAGGGCATTCCCATGTCGCCCTCCTTGGCTCATGATTTTCAGTTATTTCAACTTTTGCCTTCTAAAGGATCAACTGGTTAGATGATACTACAGTTACAGTCACGGAGCCAGGTTCAAATCCAGCAGTGACATGAAGTGAGCTACCTCACCTCCTGGAGGTCAGTTCCTCATCTGTGACACGGTACAACTCAAGTGCTTTCTTGTGTGGGGTCACTGTGAAGTTTCTTTTGTTTTTGGTACTGCGGAATCGAACTCACAACCACGCACTTGCTAGGCAGGCGCTTATACCACTGAGCTAAATCCCCAGCCCTTCACTATGAAGTTTAAAGGAGTAGGTAAAGTTCTAGAATAAGATGCTGCGTATGCAGTAAGTGCCCAATTAATGCTTGGTATCCCAATCACTGGTCTTGCCACACAAGGTCATTTTGGTTTGTGGTACATTATTGATTGGCTGTTATCAGCAGTATCTCTGCTTGGCATTTTTTCTAAATTCTTAGTTTCTCTGAGACAGAATCTTGCTCTGTCTAGGCTGGCCTTAAACTCATTACATAACTCAGGCTGTCTCTGAACTCATGAATCTCCTGCCTCAGCCTCCTGAGTGCACCTAAGGCCTAGATTTAAGATAGTGGGAAGAGTAGGTTTCAAAGGAGAGTCTCCAGACAGAATAATTTCCATGGCTCGAGCACGTGTAGGTCAGGTTCCCTCTCCACATTTTATCCGTGCGGACTTGTCTGGGAATGGCCTAACTGCAAGCAGGCACTATTTAAACCATCTGCAGCCTTCTGGATTATGGTGGTGAGATGACCAGGCAGACTGTGTGTCTGTGGGTGCTGGCTGTCCCTGCAAAAGCTGCTGTTTCTTTTGGGCATTACTAGGGTCACACTGGGAAGCCTCACCCCTGCTCTGCTCATCCCCTGCAACATGGGTGGGATGTGGGTGCTCAGGCCTCTCTGGATGGACACAGCAGCTCCTGTGGCCCTGTTGTGGGCCCCCGTCATGCCCACCACTCTCACCTTGCAGGGTGACCTCAAGGAAGTGGTGGGCGTATTCCTTGAGGCACTCTTTGGTCTTGCGGGGACAGGCGCTGGGCCAGGTGTGGCAGTGGTGATCCTTCTGGCTGACGGAAGCCAAGAGGTAGTAGTCCAGGAAGTGAGCGGGCGTGGGCAGACACAGGTTCCAGCTGAAGGCCTCCAGGAGCAGCAGCTCCGTGCTCAGCAGTTCTTCCTTGCTGAGGGAGAAGTTCTGGCTGCTCAGGACCCTGGTGCTGTTTATCTGCTCCAGCTTGGGCACGTGGTCTTCTCTGTCCTCGAATTTACCTACAGGGGAGGCAGAGCAGAAGTTTTTGGCATTCTCACCCCTAGCTGGATGCTACAGGCCCACCTTTAAGCACCTGCATGTGTTTGCACAAAGGCCAGAAAGCAGCAGAGGGGTAAGGACACACAGCCAGGATCTGTCAAGCCTGGTCCTGGGTCCCCACATCATCACGTTTAGCTGTGTGATTACGTCCGCATGTCTCAGCCTCTCTATGGCTCAGCTTCCTCACCTATAAAATGGGACCTATACTTCCAGGCTTTGTGAGATTCACTGAGAAAACGTACACCAAGTGTTCAGAGCGGCATCTGGAGCACAGGGTAGGCTGTTGGGCTAGGCAGGACCCGGTGAGAATACTCTCTCTGGCCCCTGCCAGGCTCTCCCCAACCCCACCTCCAGGCCAGAGTCAGAATGACCCTGAAAATCTGACCTTGCTGTTCCAAATGCAGAAAAGTCTGTAGCTGTCCTCCGCACTGTTTGGATTTGAAATCCGAACTCTACATGGGGTCTGGTTTGGGGTTGCTTTGGAAACAGCCTTCGTGGAAGGTGAGCCAGGAAAGCCCAGCAGGTGGGGGAAGAAACTGGAAAGGGAAGAGTGCCTCAAAGTGCACACCGAAAGTCACCCCTAAAGACTATTGGGGCTCGATTCCACCAGAGGACTCTGGGAAATGGCCAGACAGTGTCCTGCCAAATGTCAAGGACAGTGGCACCTACCCATTGACCCATGATGGTCATTAGCGTGGACGATGGCTCACCAGGGACCAGGGCTTCTCTGACACTGAGGCTTGAGGCCCCTGGCAGTCAGGGCTGTTTGTAACAGCTGCCCTTCATGAGGGCCTGACGCCCTGCACTGGTCACCACCCTGTATCTTCTGTGGCCCTACTGCTGATGCTTCTCTGAGAGCTCGAGGCCCTCTTTGCCTTGTCTCTGCAGCATCCCAGCCAATCTCAGCCTGTCCTTCCCTTCTGGGTCACTGCCTCTCGGAAGCCTCTACCGATTCCCACACCAGGTGCTGAGCCCCTCCGGGGCCACCAAACCCAGCATCACAGAGTGCACGGCAGCTGCTGGGAGAAAGGCAGTAGGGTGCCCTGCCCAGCCCTCAAAGCAAACAGCAAACAAAGCACTCACACACCTGCTTGCAGGTGGGGCCTCTGCCCCAGTTCTCCGCAGTCTCCCAGGGTTCCAGGCTCTCCTGGATAAGGAAGCGCCCACTGCCCTACCTCAGTAGACACAAAGCCCTCACTGCAAAATGAGACAGGGTCTGTGCAGCTCCAGGCAAGGGGACAGCACTGCAAACCACAGAGCTCACTCATCCCAAGGCTGACACATCCACGCCCATCAGCCATCCTGGCACTGCCTCCAAAGTGCACCCCTTGTCTTGCACACATAGGCAAGTGGGGCAGGAAGCACAGGGTCGGAGCTGCCCCAGGAGAAGCGCCCCTGTACGGCCAGTGTCCAGGCCCTGCTGGCTCCTGCAGCCTGGCACCTGGCACTCCTTCCCCCGGCGCAGGACGCAGCCACACGGTCTCAGATCCCTTTCCTCAACTCCCTCCCTACCTCACAGTATCTTATGTCTTGCAGAGCCCAGCTCAGAGGCCACTGGGTGTCCTCTTAGCCTGTCTCACATCCAACTTATGTGTCTTTAAAATTAATGGCTGCACCTGATCGCCCTTGCCCATCCTCTCGGGGCCTCCAAGTGGGGTCCAGGGCACCTGCTGCTCTGTTGTTCTCAGCACATTTTCCGACACACAGTAGGTCCCCAGTAAACAGTCACTGTGCGATCACTCCTCCCTGGACAGAGGAGTTTTGGGCCTCTTGGTTTTGTCTCCAACCATCTTTTATTCCCTATATTTTCCTCCAATAATCATTCATTCGTTTTTTTCACAACATTGCCCAAGTTGTACATGCTTAAAAAATGCAAGCTCCCCACCCCAGCTTTGTTGTTGCTGTTGTTCTTGAGATCAAACCCCGGGCTTTCTGCATGCCAGGCCAGTCAGTACTCTACCACTGAGCTACACCTGCAGCCCCACGAGCTTGCTTTTCTTCCCAGAGAAGAAAGTGCTAGGAGCCCCAGCTAGCAGATGCTCTCAATCAGATTACTTTCCTCTCCTCCCCTCCTGGCTGATGGGCCTTTCAGAGCTCTGCCTCCACCCTAATGCAGGGCCACTGTTTTCTCATGGATCTCATAGCTACACCAACCACCTTTTCTCCCCACACTGGGGAGGCCTTGGGATTTGCCATGCTGCCAACCAGAGCCAGGCAGAGCTGGCCCTGAAACCCAGGAGGCTCCTGCGGGGATGCCAAAGGCTCCAGAGTCAGTTTTTGCCCCCAGAAGTGGCTTCAACCCTCACCATTACTCATTGGCCAGGCTGACCTCAGGACAACACATTTCACAGCCAGAAAAGACCAGGAGTTTCCCAGTGTTGCACATGCTCGGCAGACATTTCCTCCCCTCCTCCCAGGAGCAGGGCTGCCCTTTGTCCCCACACTGCCACCACCCAGCACTGTTCCTCAGCTGCTTTCTCCTTATCAATAAACTGCGCAGACAGCAGATGCCTGGACATCTTCGGGCAGGTCCCCTGGGAGACACCGGGGACAGTGTCCCTGTCACAACAGCCATGAAGTTTTTTTTGTTTTGTTTTTTTCTGGCACCAGTGATTGAATTCACCACCTAGCGCTTACCAGGAAGAGCTTGAGCCACTGAGCTAAATCCCTGGCCCCAGCTATGAGCTCTTATTGCTCCTTCAATGCAGTTTTAGATCTTCAAATTCACAGAAAAGATAAAAAGACCAGAACAATGAGCACATGTGACCCTTCTCCTGGATTCTCCAGTTGTGGATGATAAACACACTGCGGTGTGTGTGTGTAAATGTTCGTTCTCCTGGACCATTTCTTTATTTTTCTTTGTGGTACTAAGGACTGAACCCTGGAGCTTTGCAATGAGCTGTCTTCTCATCCCCTTTTTATTTAGAGACAAGGTCTTGCTACGTCACTAAATGGCCCAGACTGGGTTTAAATTCATGCTCGTCCTGCCTCAGGCTCCAGAGTGCTAGGATTACAGTGGTATGCCCCTGAACAACTTCAGCATTTATTCCTGAAGACCTTTCCCTGGAATCATCGTAGAACTGGCAATTCTAAGCCATAGAAATTTCAGGTAGTAGCATTCTGAAATCCAGTACGTATTTCACTTTCTCCAGGGTCCTGGGAATACCTTTTATTTTGGATGCAGGATCCAAACTAAGCTCACACATGGAGTCTATTACATCTGCTGTTTGATTTGTTTTGTTTTGTGCTGGGGATCAAGCTCAGGTCCTCACACACACTAGACAAGCGCCCTACCCCTAAGCTACATGCCCACATATCCCAAGCCTGTGAGATCTCTTTAGTTTCATATCTGGGTTTTTTCTTCATGACACCGACCCTTTGGAAGAACCTAGGTCAGCTATCTTGGTTAAGGTGGTGACGCTAGATCTAGCTTTTTTCTTGTCTTTTTTTTTGAGACAGGGTCTTGTCGTGTAGTTCAGACCAGACTTTAACTCACTATATAGTACAGGCTGGCCTCAAAGTGGCAGCGATCCTCCTGCCTCAGCCTCCTAAGTGCTGGGATTAAGGCACGTGCCATCACATCCAGCTATCCATTTTAAAGGTAGCATCTCCCCAGTGAAATTAATAACTAATTAGTAAAGCGACACCTCGAGACTCTGAACGTCCTGTTTCTCCGCTGCCTTCATCTCCATGGACAGTCCCTTCCTGAACAAGTTACAATGGTGGATCAAAAGGACATTTTACAAATTCTACCATCCTCTCTCCTTTCCTGCTGCTCACATGGTCCCACATCTGAACAGCATGAGTCTCAGCACACGCCTCAGATTCAAAACGTCCCCAGACCCACACACGCACTCGCTGTGGCTTGTCAGGCACGCGAGCAGCCTGGCGCTGGTGGTGGTGAGGTGCATAGGTGGTGCCTCACAAGCGTCCCCTGCACACCTTGATGGCTGACTGCTGACCCCTGCAGTCCCCGCGGCTGTGCCAGAGTGAGGTGACAGGTCACAGCTGGAGCATTGATGACCCTAAGTCCAGCCAGTGGCGGCAAGAGAGTTTCCACTCAGCTCAGTAAGGACACTAGCAGCTTGGTTTTGATTTTCTTTTTTACAGATTAAAGGACAATAACAAGAAAAAAAAAAAACTGTGGCTAAAACCACACACCATAACATTTCGTACTTTTTCAGTGCAGCATTAAACACACTGACAATGATGTACAATCATCACTACCTCTACCTCCAGAACTGGTTTCTTTTTCTGAGACAAGATCTCAGGTTGATCTCGAACTCACTGTGATCCTCCTGCCTCAGTTTCCTGGGTGTTGGGATAATAGGCGGGCACCATTACACCCAGCTCAGAACTCCTTCATTTTGCAAACCTGGAACTGGGTACCATTTACCTCCCCGCTCCCCTCCTCCACAGCCTCTCCTGTCTGTCTCCGTGAACAAGACCTCTCTGAAGAGCAGCCTGTCTTCTTCCATCTTGGAGGCAGACCAAGTGGGGTTCCAGACTACTCTGAATGAAGACTGAATAAACATTTTATTTTAATTTTTTGCAGTCCTGAGGATTGAACCCATGGGCACTGAGCTACATCTCCAGCCAGCCCCTTTTATTTTATGGACTTTTTAAAGACAGGATCTCTCTAAATTGCCCAGGCTGGCCTTGAATTTACAATCTTGACACCTCAGCCTCCTAGAATTATAGTCAGGAGCCACCACACCCTGCCCTCTCCGCTCTTTTGTCATGCTGGGATTGAACCCAGAGCCCCGTGCATGCCAGGAGCACGCCACCACTGGGCTACAACCTTGGCCCCTTTTTGTAGAATCAACAAATAAACAGTTCCAAAGCCTCCAGCTTTCTTTCTATACCACAAGCATGAAAACTCACACAGTTCCCGGGCAGCCCTGTATCCATCTTAGGATGCAGGGATTCCCACGGATGCAGCCTCTCTTCCTCTAAACAT